CGCTGCTGTATGCGCTGCTGTATGCGCTGCTGTATGCGCTGCTGTATGCGTTGCTATAGGTGCTGCCGTAGGTACTGCCATAGGTGCTGCCGTAGATGCAGCTGTAGGCCTAAGAAGGGCTGGATCAATACAAGAAAGATCAGCCGGTGTAGCTGTCGACTGATAGGCATTCCGAGCGACAGGAGCTGGACGAGGGACTACAGAAATAGGCGGTGCTGGCGGCGGAGCTGTCGGCATGCGTCCTGGAGGTATGCTCGTATGTCCACTCTGTCTGGTTTACTACGGTATTTTGCTAGGCCGTAGCCCTGCGCTGATGCGTGCGCTTGTAAAGCAATATGCGCTTTCTCTGTTATAGCGTAGTACGCCAGCCGTGGCGGCTGGAGGGCCATAGTGAGTGTGTTGTAGAGGGAGAGGAAGAGGATGTAATTGATTGTAACCAAGGCCGCATTTGGAGAGAGCATTTGGAATTAATAAGCAAGTTAAGCGAGCAAATCGGAGGCTCCGGAGCCGTAATCCGAGCCAATAGGAAGGCGGTGAAGCGCCAAGAGAGGGGGGGTGTGTGGTTACTCGAAAAGGGGTGTGCGGCTACTCGAAAGGGGGTGTCAAATTACCCGCCCCCTTAATGTATTAGCCCTTTTTAATTCTTACCTCGTCCTATACAGTTATCGGCCTTCGTATAACTTCAGCAGTGCGATCTTCTACACTGCGCGTTGATTCGGTAGGTGCGATGGTACGAATATTCAGAGGGTTGTAAGCCTATTGGGGCCTGACTAGAACCTTTACAGAAGATGTAATTCATGGACATGCGTTTTTGATGTGCGGGATTTCATGTTGGTACAATCCATGCCGAGAATCTGCGGCAGTGCACTTTTTGGGACTGGAGCCGAAATTGCGCAAAAGCCGAGCCGACTCTTTCTTAATACCGAGTCTAACCTGAAAGCGGAGCTCGCTGACTTCGAGCTCTGATTTGCTGGAGCGGAGACAAGGACTTATCCTCCGAGTACTCCGTCGTCCGCGCATGTCTCTTCCTTACCTTGGGATGCGTAATGATTTGTTTCTGCACTTCACTGGGAGCGTAATGAAGTGTTCATTCGTAGCGCTATGCTAGAAAGCTTAATGTCTAAAATTTGAAGACGTGAATGTTGTTCAGAAGAAGAAACGGCAAAAGCGCAGAAGAATAAGAAATAAAACGAATAAATTTTAGGCTTACAGGGCTAGCGCAATATTCTAAACTTCAGGCTAGCGATGACGTAGGTTTCTCGTTGCCCTGCTCCTGTCCCCCCAGTTGCTCCATTTACCTCTTCTCTTGTGTGGGGAGGATGGATAGATGATTCTTCTTCCTGTTTCCGGAGTCAGCCATGAACTCATTGGGTACAGAATCCAATGAGCAACCTCGGCCACCCAAACGCAGGCGTCCCGCGCGCTCGTGCCAAGAATGCCGTCGTAGGTCACTTTCCTTGCACGGAAAAGAACTCTCCAATATCTGACTCCTATCTTATCATTATTGTAGGACGAAAGGTCAGGTGCGACCTCAAGCAGCCCTGTGCTCATTGTGTGACTTCCAAAGTCCAATGTTTCTACAATGTCAACAGAGCAGCGATCCAGCAGGCGCCTGCCCCTTTTGCTACAACGCCACAATCATCTGGACTGGCCTCCAGCCCTGATCGCAGCAGGTCTGAGCCAGCGATCCCAGACTCGTTAAGTCCAGGACCGCCTTCTATTATCAATTCTTATGGCTCGAGAATTGGGAATCCACCACAACACGGTCCATACCCTCGGCTCATGTCCACCAGTACAGAGCATCAATTAAAAGCGCTCAAACGAAAGGTTAGCGCACTTGAGGATCAGCTACAGGAAGCTTTAGCGGGTCATCGTCCGCTTCGAGCGGAGAATGAAGATATCCACCAAAATAATCATCGGCGGGAAGATGATGAGAGAGAGGCAGAAGAAAGATCCTGGTCACAGCAGACTGGGGGACATTCGCCACCATATGGACAGCTCCAGGATGTTGGGCAAGAATCGGCACCCCCACCACACGACCGAAAGTCAATTATGTTGAATAAATCCCGACTCTATGGTCCGAGCCATTGGACGCACGGCGGGCGCGAGGTATCTCAAGCACCCCCTCTCCTGCCATGACGCTTCGCTGACTCTTTGAACAAGCTGAGAAGAGTTGCTGTGCTCATGAAATTGATAAATGATAACGCTGCATCCGTTGACGACTCTGCTGAGATTGATGCATATAAGGCCCAGATGTCAGAGATACGACGGCTCCTTCTCAGATGCAAGCTCTTTGCTCGAAATATGAAAGCATCCCGTCACGGTAGGTCAATGTCTTGGCCGGCCGAATCAAGCCTCTGCATGCCTACTAATCGAGAGTTTGCCGATCATATGGCACATATCTACGTATCCCGCTTCGAATCGGCGTTCCGCATCCTTCATATTCCTTCGTTCTGGACCGAATACGAGCATTACTGGAGAGGTTCGACAGAGATATCGAGCGCGGTCCGACTGAAGATTGAGCTGGTGATAGCGATTGGGTCCAGTCTATATCGAGACAGCCCTGATTCTGAGACTGTCCGCTCCACATCGCTCCAATTGGTACATGCTGCACAGAGCTGGGTGTCCGGTCTGATGGAAAAGGATCAGTTGGGTCTCAGTGGACTTCAAGTGCAGTGTCTCTTGATCTTAGCTCGTCAAGTTCTGTCCGTCAGTGGGGATCTCATCTGGATTGCAGTCGGCACACTTGTTCGCACAGCCATGCAAATGGGATTGCATCGTGATCCTGAGCATTTTGCGAATATGACCATATTGTGAGTGGGGTCCCCTTTGGTGGAGCCTGCATCTGGGTTGATCTCCTGATCCTCCTACCTTGCCCGGGCCAATTCATATGCTCTGGTGTTGGTTCTCGCTACAGAGATGCTTGGCTTGGCCATCTTTCATTCTCTCTTTACCGGCCATAAATCTAATCAGTTGGAGTAGTCATGCAGAGCTTCGAAGACGTTTATGGGCCACGATACTGGAAATGAATCTCCAAGCGTCGTTGGACTCGGGCGTGCCGCTCGCCATGTCATGCAATGATTTCGATACCAAAAGCCCATCGAACATCAACGACGACGATATCAACGACAGCGCAACAACCCTCCCTCATCATTCAAGGGACACCAGAACGGATACATCCATACAGCTTCATTTGCTCAGATACCTACGGGTACGGATGGAACTAATCCACCGCGTCAACGGCTCCAGCCCTTCCAATTTCTCGCAAGACGAAATTCAATCTATAACCTCGCAGCTTACCAAAGCTTGCCAGGAATGCGCGTCTCAGCTGCCGGAAAGCAGCTTCGACAGTAATTTGGATGGGGGTGATGAAGATCTCAAAGTTTTCAGATACAACATGGCAGATCTACTCTTGCGCAGATTTCTGCTTACTCTGCACCGTCCTTTGGCGAGCAACGCCGACATCAGCCACCCTGCAGCTTACTTCTCGAGAAAAGTCTGCCTTGATTCTGCGACTGCACTGCTCTCACCGCCACCAAATGCCGACTTCGCTCACCTCGTTCTGCTTGGCGGAGGTATATTCAAGAACCGCATCATGCACGCCACCCTGGCTGTAAGCTCCGAGCTGCTCATCGATCTCGAAGAGCACGGGCGTGCGGTGCAATGGCCGTCCACCTATCGGAGGATGCTGATCAGTACCCTTCGAGGAGCCCTGGGGCAGCTTGCGGCGCGTATAAGTCTGGGCGAGACGAATGTTCGGCCTTATATGAAGCTTAGCGTTGTCCTCTGTCACGCAGAGTGCACTGAAACGGGCACTGCATTGCGACAGCGTGTGGCACAAACCGCAAGGGAGAGCTTGGAGGTGTGTTATGCCGCTATGCAGGCTCGAGCTTCAAACTTAGCAGTTGGTGATAAGGAGTCCGGTGATGTGACAGAACCGCATCAACAGGACGTGGGGGACTCAATGATGTCCCAGGATCTGGCGGTTCTCGACTTCTCGGACTTTGGTGGTTGGGACTTGAATGAGTTCTTCGGCATGGTAGATTTCGATTCGGATGTGCTGCTCTGACGGGGATTCCGTTCAAGTAAGGTACATACATGTCTGTGGACCCGCGAGCTTATCTTGTAGAACCCTGGTAAGACCGAAGAAAGCACATATCAATCCCCAGTTGTCGGAGAGACCTCAGATTGCGCTCTGTCAAAGGCAAGGTGATAAAATGGAAGAGATGAAGGAAATGATCAAGATTCAGGCCGGAGTCAACCCCTCAGAGATACATGGCGGCATAAGGGAACTTCTGGCTGCGGGAGCCGTCAGGTTTCATTTTCGTCGTCAACATTCTCATTCATCAGCTGATCTGATCTCCTAGATCACCTTGCCCCCATCGAAGCTGCAGGTAACACTTGAGGGGAGGAAAGGGTGGAGCTGCTGATTTCTTGATGCAATAATTATTTTAGGAGGGTGAGATAAGTGTAAAACTCGGACAATTCAGCAATGGCCGAACAGGCCACGGAAATGACGGCTTATTCAGTTATCACCGAATAGACGAGACCGTGACTAAATACCCCGAAGCTAGCAGCAGAGACGACTTTTGGGGTATAAATGGTCTCTTTCTTTCTTACTCAAACGTTTCTCGAGACTGCACGCACAGCCTATTTTCTCACGTTCAGATCCCAGCGTCTTTCTCAATTTGCCCAGCGGTTCACACATCTACTGGTTTTCAACTCGGCACACAAGCACATCAACAATCCTTCCACCGTATCTGTGCGCAGATTTGCGAGAATTACAGACAAGCTATCGAAAATGGCTCATGAGATTCCCTCTCGGCACCGCGGTCTGGTGATCGAGTCGGTCCAGAAGGACTTGAGCGGCGTCCATGTCAAATCGCTCCCAACACCGCAAGTTGAAACGGGCAGCACGATCGTGCGCATCCTCGCTGCCGGTGTGATCTCGTACCAGCGCCAAATCTACGATGGCACGCGCGACTATCCCTTCCCCAAGCCCATGGTCGGTGGGTACAGCGCCATCGGGCGCGTGGTCGCGGTCGGACGTGATGCCGTGTCGCTGCAGCCCAACCAGCTGGTGTACGTCGACTGTGTCATCCGTGGTCGCGATGATCCGGAGGCCATGTTCCTATCTGCCATCTCGGACGGCGTTAACGCGAGCTCGGCTCGGCTGATGAAGGACGTCTGGCGCGACGGCGTGTTTGCCGAGTTCGCCAAGTTCCCCCTGGAGAGTTGCGTGCCTCTCGACGAGGCGAGGTTGTGCCAGGGTTTGGGTTATGATGTCAAAGACCTGGTGTACATGAGCTATCTGCTTGTGCCTTTCGGCGGTCTGCGAGACATCAGAGTTGAGCCCGGGGAGACGGTGGTCGTGTGTCCGGCGACGGGCGGGTTCGGCGGTGCTGGTGTGCAAGTCGCCGTCGCCATGGGCGCCAGAGTCATCGCCATGGGCCGGAACGAACAGGAGCTGGCAAGGCTGAAAGCGCACGTCGTCGAGGGCACCCCCGGCGCCGCCATCGAGACGGTCAAGATGACTGGAGACGAGGACAAGGACACCGCCGCTCTGCAGGCGTTCGGACTCATCGACGCCGTGTTGAGTCTCGTGCCGCAGTCAGTGGGCCAGTCGCCGCACCTGAACAGCGCCATCATGGCCCTGCGCCGGAAGGGTCGCATCAGTCTCATGGGAGCCTTGGACGTGGGCCCGATCCCGAGCTTTCACATCGTTGCAAAGGACATCACGATCAAGGGGAAACTCATGTATGAGAGGGAGGATATGCGCTTGTTCGTGAAGATGCTGGAAGGTGGTCGCTTTTCACGAAGCCCCAACTTTGTGGATTTGAAGACCTTCCCGTTGGATGATTGGAAGACTGCGTTGGACATCGCAGCTGAGTATACGGGGATTGCGAGGTTAGTGGCGATAACACCATAAAAGGCCCCTGGCATTCCGACTAGCATGAGAACAAGTGCTCCGTATGTAGGGAGCGCAATACTTACCTGAATTTACAAGCACTGATTGCAAACCTTGATTTTTCCTCTGTTGCCCCTAATATCTTAGCCGCAAGTCAGTAGCCTCAGAGGGGGCCTCGGTCTGCGAGTGGGTGCTTCCACTATTATCCTCGCCGTCTTCGGTTGGGTACGAGTAGGAGGAGATGTGACCGTATGGCAGTGGCGGCGATGGCGTCGCCGTTGGTGTGCACACAGGACTAGGTGCAAGGCTCTCTAACCGTGGCTGGGCCGAAAGCCGCTTTGCTGGACGGGAGTCTCCCAAGGCCAGTTTCGAGGTGTGGTCTAGCACTTCTAGAGGTATTTGTATTGACAAATGAGCTGTACTTCCGCTTGTGTATTAATGGCCGATCCTTCATGCCGACATCATTGTAAGGTGCGTCCTGCTCAACGAAACTGTCTCCAAAGGGCGTTAGGATGAGTTCCTTAGGTCTGCAGGAGATTTGCTCACCTTCATACACAGCTGCCGCGTTTCCCACGGAGATTGCGCGCATGTCAGCTGCATCCAGGTCGTCGTCCTGACGTTGTTGCGGTCGGCCACTGAGTTGGAAATTGTCCATGTTATAGCTTGCTCCGGCTGTGTTATAATCCAGAACTATAGGAATTTCTGTTATTAACTAGCAAATTATTACCGCAATACTAATAACACGCTTACCTAAACTACTTCTATTAAATAACCTATCTATAGTTAAGTTTATCTCCTTAATATCTATAGTTAGGTAAAACTTATTCTAGCTAGGCTATTAGCTCTATAGTATTTATAGAAAAGGAATAGTACTAAGTTTACCTTTACTATTTATATATATATTAGCTAGAACCTATTAGCTAGTCTAGTTAAAAAGCTAGAAATACCCGGATATAGTAAACCTAAAGAGCTAGTAGCTTTTACTATAACTAGTAGTTTTAAATTAAAAAAACGCAATATATAAAAGTTTAATAGATTAGTTAGAAAGTTATTAATATTAGCCTACTTTTCTTTATATTTATAAAAGTTATTATTATAGAAATTAAGCTCTATTATTTTAAACTTATTTTTAGCCTTAAACTTAGCCTTATATTTAGGTTCCTTTTTATAATTAAGTGCTAAAAGTTTAAAAGGAATAAATTTAAAAGAATATAAAGTAGCTAGTAAAAAAGTACTAATAATAGCTATTATATTTAGGGGTTTACTAAGTTCTATAGCTTAGGAAATAGAGCTATATCTAAAGGTTTAAATATATTATTATTTTTTTAAGCTACTAACTATTATAAATAATACCTTCTAAAATAGGTTTATAAAAAGTTTATATAAATACTATATTCTAGTATAGAGGCTTAGTTAAAAAAAAAAAAAAAGGGGAGGAAAAAGGGAAAAAAAGGGCAGAAAAAAAGGGAATAGTATTAAATTGTTTATTACCTTCGGCGTTTCTAAAATAGTTAAACCTATAGCCGCCGCGAAGGTTTTATTTTAAAGCTTATTTAACGCTGTTACTAAGCTATTAGTTGCTAACTTCTAGATACTAACTTCCTACTTTATATAAGGCGAAGTATTTTATAAAAGCTATTATAGTAATATAAAGGTTATAAAAAAACTAATATATAATATAGTTATTCTAATAAGCTATTAGAAATCGAAGCTAAAAAAAGTTTTAATAGGCTTTTTAAAGCACTTAAAGTAATTATATATAATTATAAAGCCTTTTAGGTAGTAGTAGTAGTATTATAGTAGGTTAAATCTTTTCTATAACTTTTAACCTTAGATTATATTTATAATAATAATAACAACACCTATAATAATAATATAACTAAAAGCCCCTTTTTAATATATATAGAAGTATTATAAGCGCACTTAATAAAGTATAATAAATATAAAGCGCTTTATAAAGTTAGCCTTTTAATATTTTTAGTATAGATTTCTTCTAGGCTATAGTTATATATATTAATAATGCGTTTTTTAGACTTATTATTAGGGGGCTACTAATTACACACCCTCTTTTCACTAATCGCACACCCCCTTCTTACTAATCGCACACCCCTTCCCCCTCTATCGCTTCACCACGTTCTAATTGGCCCGGAGGGGTGCTCCGAGGCCTCCGATTCGCTCGCCTAAGTCGCTTACTAATTCCAAATGCTCTCTCCAAATGCGGCCTTGATCGCAATCAATTACATCCTCTTCCTCTCCTTCTACAATACACTCACTATGGCCCTCCAC